TAACATCACGATTGACTTCCTTGTGTGTGTGATACCAGCCACGAGTCCTGCAACCAACACATGGGGCAGCTGCCAGAGCTGGAGGTATATAAGGGCTTTGAGACTCTATTACAGGTGGCCACGCAGGTTGCATTTCAGAAAACGGGATCCCAACTGGACACAGAAGGTCCAAGGGGGTCTCTGGATCTTTTCTAGAGGAGAGATTCAACTTCCAGGCCACGCTGCTCCCTTCCCTGTGGCACAGACTGCTGGTGGCACACACCACAAAGGTGAGAAAATTGGTGTGAGATCCTTCTACACCGGGCGAAGGAAAATAACAGAGCTAAAGAGAAGCAAGACCAAGCAAACACCATCCCCACCTCCCCCTTTCAGGGTTGTTTCATGAGGGCATCTGCAGAATCACAAGAATCTGGGCTTTTTGGGTTATAAAGGGCCTGTGGTCCCATGCCAGGGATGGCACCAAATCCAACTCTCCAGAAGCTGCCCAGCAGGAAGGTAACTCCTGTGTGTTTTGGGGTCAGTTACCACATGTCATCCCACAAGGGCTTTTATGAGCCATCCACTCATAGCTCAGGAGTGAGGGAAGTCCAAAATTAATTCAACAGGTTGTAGCAGCGAGGACAATCAAGGACCTAGAGCTTCATTTTGTGGAGCTGCTGTCAGCAGACAAATAAAAGACCGTGGCACGACTCCATGCAAGTCTAGGGCACCAGAAAATAACATACCCAGCATATTCTGTGGTTATTGGACAAGGAGAGAAGGAAAGAGAAGGGAAATTAATAAAACTCAGGCTGCCAATGCCCCAGACTCTTCTTCTCTCACCCTAAAAAGTGGCAAGGATTCTGAAAATTAGATGGAGTTGATCAGCATTAAACATTTGAAAGTCAATGTTTTTAACTTGGGTTTATCTTTCCCTCTCAATTCCTACATCAGAGAAAGCAAAAAGCTTTTGAATGCCATACATACAAACATTTTTTATGCCTTTTCGTTTTCGCTTTTGCTTAGCAGTGAATAAAAGCTTGACTCCTACATCAAACCCTCCAGAGCCCAGTCAGTCAACCCCCTGTCAAGGTTATCTCATGGCTTATGGACTGTGGGAGAAATGGATTGCTGCATGGCAGGAACCACCAAAAAACCCCCCACTTATTTATTCAAGGGATGACCTAAAGGCTGTGGTATCTTTTGGCTCTCTCTGGCTCCAAAAAGGCACAAGCCAGGATGACCTGAAGTCTTGTTCTCACCCACAGGCACAGGAGCACAGGGGTAGTCAGAGGGATGTTGTCACCATCTCCCAGCCTGGCTTACCTCCTGCTGTCAGAATTTGGTGACCCCCAAGCAGAGGTGCCAAAAGGGAGGGTGAGGACACTCCCTAATCTGCCCCTGCACAATGTCCAACCAAACAGTGAAATCTCAGCTGCTTCTCCTCACTCCTTCTGCTCAGAAGCCAGGGATTTATCCAGAACAAAGGAGAAGCAGAGAAAAAACCCGAAGGCTTTGGATACAAGTATTTATTTGCAGGTGCTAAATGATTTCTTGATTAATTCTGCAAACTGCTACTCACTCCTCTCCAGCCCTCGTCACTCGGCGTTTCATGGGGAAAGCGTTTTGGTTCAACAAAGAGAACTTTCAGGCTGAAATGTGCCTGGTGTGGGCAGCAGGGCAGTAATTGGCTCGAAAAACAAAACAGTGAGGAAGAATGTGCAACTAATCTGAAACCCTTTAAGCCAGATAAGGGCTTTGGTTTGCCATCAGCACATGTCTAAACTTTTCCAGACCTAATAAAGAAGCATTATCGCTGTAGCAGATGTTAAATGTGAGTGGTACTTCAAGGGGAGGGAGGGAAAGAAATAACATGTATATAAATATAAATACAGATACCACAAAAGGCTCTCAAATTGCAGGCTTTCACGTCCCTCTGTTTTACAGTGGGATAACATCAAAATTAACAGGTCAATATGAAGGGACCCAAGAAGAAACATGGAGAGAGACTATTTACAAGGGCCTGGAGTGACAGGACAAGGGGCAGTGGCTTCACTCTGACAGAGGGAAGGGTTAAGATGGGATGTTAGAAAAGAATTTTTCCCTATGAGGGTGGTGGGGCCCTGGCACAGGTTGCCCAGAGAAGCTGTGGCTGCCCTGGATCCCTGGAAGTGTCCAAGGCCAGGTTGGATGGGGCTTGGAGCAACCTGGGCTAGTGGAAGGTGTCCCTGCCCGTGGCAGGGGGGTTGAACAAAGTGATTTTTAAGGTCTCTTCCCACCCAGTCATTCTATGATTCTCGGAACATGTGTTTACAGGAAAGGAAAGGCCATCCCAGCCTTTCACCAGCAGCCCAAACAGGATTTGAACACAGACTGTCTTCCCAAGTCCTCAGCGTTGCCCTTTGCCCCAAGGAGCACACACAGAAAATATGTGGCAGATCCAAGGTTTTGGAGATATTAATAACACAAACAGTGTAAACCATTAGATCAGGCTCCTGCCTGCCAGGGAAAAGCCTGGCTATGGAAGGTCATTGACATCCTGAAATCCTGGAGGTTCCAAGGAGTGCTTTTTAGGTTATTTGTGATTTACTGCATGATATGGGATTCCCCTTTCCAGCCTGGGACCAGCCTTACTCAGAAAAAGAAGAGTCCTGTGCAATTTATTACCTCTTCCTATCTAAATACAGCAGTACAAAGCAGATAATCAGATCTGTGACAATTTAATTATCACCCTCCTAAGGCAGCTGCCCCATCCTGACCCCGCTGGGGAGCACATGGTGTACTAAACCCCAGGATTTGGCCAAGATGTGCTGGTAATTCAGCAACAAAACATCTCCACAAGGCCTCCAGGGACAGCATCCTCTTTCTGTCCGTTGCCTTTTTAATGGGACAAAAAGGATTGAACCTCAGACCAGGAATTGAAATAAATGCAAAAAGAGCCTTAAAATCTTTGCAGCACCCCGACACTGGTCCCTGCCTAGGGAAACACATTGAGGGTGGGCCCCTCCATGAGGCCTGAGGAATTCCCTTTTTTTATTGCATCAGGGATGCCAGAGCAGTTCAAGGCTCAACAACTCACAGGTAGCAGGGATGATGTGTTTTCTAGAAAGAAGGGGGCAGGAAGACTCCTCTGGCAACATAAGTCACTTCAGATGGTGCTGGCTTACAGGCCTCTTCCTTTAAATTGATTAATAATGACACATTCAAATGGACAACATAAATTAATTTCTGAATTGCACCATTAGTAAGTAATTAATTTCTTTGCTCTGTGAAACCAAGATATCACTGTTATCTAAATCTATAAAGAGAAGAAATGCTGAACGAGGACTCCATTAATGTAAAAATTGATTTTTCCATTTACCCTCTTCTCAGGGTTTTTTTTTTATCTCCCCCTCCCTCCAGTGCATTTATATTTCAAGTGGCTGGGGGTGGGGAGAGTAACCTAATTTATACTTCCAGTGGTAATCAAAACATCATGCATGCTCATTTCAACCAAATGATGTCATTATGAAGGCTGTTAAAGCTAGGGTTGCCTTGGAAACACGAAATACTGATAGTTGAGGTCGGACATCTGAGTTCTCAGTAGGCACAGTAATGAGGGAATGGTGTGGCCCTGCCAGACCTGGCCTGACTGGTCACGCTGGGAAGATCACACTAAGTTACTCAGATAGTCTCTTTAGACCTTACCAGGCTGCCATTTTTCCTGTTCCTCGCACCACCTGCCATAATCCATTAGTTTTATGGAGCCAGGAGCAGAGAACCCTCTCAGTCGGACGACGAGCAGAAAGGACAAGGCGCGGGTAGGACGTGCTGGCCCCAGCAGGAAGGACAATCCAGCTAAGGGCTGTGTGCTGCTGGCCACCAGCTGCCTCATTTCTGCTTTGCCACGTCAAAAAACATACCCAGTACCTCTGCCACCCTCTTGGTGCAGCCCAGGGTGGAGATTTACTGGGGACTCAGGTGGTCTCTGATGATCCAGCTGTAGCCAAGGCATTAAATCCTCCTTTCCATACCGAGGGACTCGGTGAATGGTCTAGGACACATCCAGCCTTGGGGTGACAGATCATGTGTTCAGCATCTGGAGGGGAAGGTGCAATAGGAGAGGGGAGATTTATTTTGGGTGCCCTGGGTTTTCTTGCAAAGGCCAGCAACCTCACAAAAAAGACAAAACAAGACACCTCTGTCACCTCTTATAGACCTGGATCCTTCAAAGAGAGGATTCTTTGAGTAAGAGTCATTTTAAAAAGAATTCCAGAAATGGAACTGACTCTCTATCTACTACTTAGAGGAAAAAAAAGCCTTAAATTTTTCCTCATAGTGAATATTTTCTTGGCCATTCTGCTGAGATGGCTTGAGGCAGCTGTGCCTGGTGTCATGGGGTGGATGGCAAGAAAGAGCTGACACCAGTTAGGCAGCAGGATTTGGGCAGCCCAGGACTTTGGTCCACCAACAGAAAAGGATGCAGAGTGATGTCATGGATTTTGGACAACTCCATGGGTCTCCTCAGGGAGTTCTGCTCTTCCCAGCTCAAGGTACTGGGAGAGGAAGCTGAGGACTGACTGGAGATGCATTAGTGCTGCTGATGCAAAGAGCCACTTGGGTCCCTCAGCTGTGCCAAGCCACGATTTCACAGCTCCTTTCAGCTCTTTTTTACCTCCACTGTCCCAGGAAGAACTCAATGTCATCTCTGATCACGTCACACTGAGCTGAAAGCCAAGTTTAAGGTATAGCTTTGAGAGCCAAGTGTAAGACACAGCCTGAACCACATCTCCAAACACAGGCACCGTATCCACACTCTAAAACAGGGAACAGAGCGAGTTGAATTATTTACAGCAAGTATTTTGGCTGCTTCTTTTTTTTCTTCCCCCTTCTCCTCTTGTTAAAGAGCACAAAACAAAACACACATACAAACAAGTCAATAGGATGAAACATTTACTGGCTGTACAGGGTGTGTTAAATGAACTCATTTCAGCTCCTCGATTAATATCCGGATGTCCCCAGTCACTGCCAGTGCTTTTTTCCCTTTGGTGAGTGTGTAGTGACATTAATACCACCATGTGATCCTTCTCCTCCCTTATTGAGTCACCTTCCCCTTCCATGCAGGAGTTTCTCTCAAGCTTCATCAATTGAAATTGTTGGAATGCACCAAGAAAAAAATTATAAAAAGAGCATTTCATAACATTGGCAGGAGCATTTCAGGCATGAGCACTTTGAATATTTATTTGCCCTTTGTGTGAGCAATCTCAGCAAGAAAAAGTCAGTGTGAATAAAAGGAATTGCAAATGCCAGCGGAGGAGCTCTGGAGTTTTCATTCACAAGAATATTTGCACAGGCTCCTGGGAGAATTAGCAGGCAAGGCAATACAAAATCTCTTGGAGCATCAACACTTTGGATACTCCGTAATCCCACTTGTCTGATGGGAAACATCTCTTCCTGAGAGCTGGTTTGTTGGTTTTTTTTTTTCCTGGCTTGGGAAGGCTGGAAAAGGATTGGAAAATCTGGGAGAATTATTTTTGCCCCGTTTCTGTGTCATAGTGCCTTGTATTCCCTCTGCCTCTCCTCTCCCATCCACTATCACTCCCTTGAGCTGAAATGGGATGAATAAACTAAACTTCCTTCGGGGGAAAAAGAGATGGACAAGCAGCCAACACTGTTGGAGCCATGGAAAAGCAGGGAACTCACAAGGAAAAGCCAGTCAAGGAGCAATTTAAGGCAGAACTTCATACCACAGCTCTGGATTAGACAAAATTCCACCTGGGATCCAAATGAGAACAAATCATTAAGGAACAGAGCCAAAACATCCTTCTGCTTGGAAAAGACAAATCAGGATAGCAGCATTCACTGGGTTTTAGGGTCAGCAATAAAAGAATGGGGGCTATTTACTCATAATTAGCTTTTATGGGCAAAAAAAATCCTGCAGAATTTCATTCTTGCCACAGAATTTTGTAGGGTGGTTCAGAAACTTATCAGAAGGATATTTTCTTGCCCAGGTTTTCAGAGCATTTCTCTAGAACCCTGTTGGTTTCAGCCCTGTTAAATTCAATAACTTCCTTAAGGGAGTGCTTTAAGTGTCAGGCTTGATTCAGTTATATAAAGGGATAAGGGAATAATCATTAGACAGTGCACAGGGATGGGAGAAATGGTTTTGTGTGGCACCAGTCTTATTTAAGAACAGTCTGAATTTATAGATGAGGCTGATGAGAAAGTTGGAAGCAACTAATACAAGCGTAAAAGACAAAAGCCAGGCAATGCTTTCAGAGAGGGCTGGGACCAACTGGGAGACCACAGAGGCACGAGGATGGTTCCAGAGGAGTATTTTAAGTGTTTTTAGATGTTTGCCTTGGTTTCATCAAGATGATATCCCATGTACTCTTCCTGCCATTCATAATGTAAGCTATGGGCACTGGAGTTTATGTAAGAGGCTGCGCTGCTTTCTTTGCAATTAACGCATCCTGCAATTAACAATCCAAACCACTGAATCTTTAATATTTCTTCTTACTTCTAATACAGAATATTTTACTTCTAAGATACTGCTGTCATTGTGCCTTAATTTATTCTGACAGTGTGAGCCACGACTAATCCTCCTTCTGAGTGCTGAGCACAGGCACAGACCAAAAACCCAAATCAGCACCTCTCCTTCCAACTACTCACCTGACATCCTCTCCAGAAAAGGGGAAGTTGATAAATGTGGCCTTCAGGAGACAGGGAATGCAAAGAAGGGTGAATGTATCACTCCACATCCTGCTCTGAGCAGGAGGCACCTGCAATTTGAAGAGGAGAAAAGGTATGGGGTTGGTTTTTCAATGTCTTGCAGGAGAGGAGAGGCAGTTCCCAACAATCAGGTTTCAAGGGGCACATGTGAACTTAATGATGCTCTGATAGACTTTACACCTCAAATATCAAAAAAACCCCAAGCAATCAGACAGGTCCAGCTCCATTTTCTTCACTGACAGAACAGAATAACACAGATTTTTCAGTCAGTGATTAAAGAGACTGAAGCTTTCTGCTGCTAACGAAGGGTATTTATCAGCACCTCCCAAAAGATCTGCTTCATAAACCAGTTATCCAGAGGTCCCTCACCCAAACCTAAGACCCTTCAGGAGGAGGCACCTCATGACTCCTCACCCTCTGAGCCTGATCCGTCCCCATTAGTGGGACCCTTTGGGCCACCACCGTGTGGTGCTTTCCCAAGTTTGTATCCAACAGTGCTCAAGACATCCCTGAGCAACACCAGCTCCTGCTTTTGTACAAGGGGGGGACAACTCCAAAGACTCTTCCCAACCACACAAATGCCTCATTTATCTCCAAAGTTACACAGCTCTTCTCAGCCCTGCGCTGGGTGAACGTTTCCCGGTCCATCATTCCACACACCCTTTTTACAGCTTCTGTGGGTTCATCCCTGGCCAAGAGCGTGAGACACTCCATTTGTTTTGGCAAGAACGTCCCTGAGATTTACACCTGTAATTACACAGGTAACCTTTCCAACAGGGAATTTTAAAATGATCAACGCTAAAGCAACCTACACATTAAATGTGATTAATAAGATGCTGGATGGCTGCGAGTCTGCACCTCCCTGCTTGTTAAGCGCGTCAACTGGAGCGTCCCTGACTGATCCCACCACTGTGAGACACCCAAAAGTGGGCATTCCCAATGGATAGAGCCTCTCTTCCCAGGCAGTGTCCATGGGAGGGAGGGTTAGGGTATGAACAGGCACAGAGGATGACATCCATCCCCCGAAGTTTCATGGAGGGTGGAGACTTCTTCCTGGGTCTAATGTCTTCTCCTGCCCCTCCTGCTCTCTGTCCTTTTGTCCCTTCCTGCTGGGAGCTGTATGGGTCTGGCACAGCCAGAGGGATGCTGAAGAGGTGACAGCAGGGTCTCAAGTGACAGGAGACAGATGAGCGTGAGCCTGGCTGGGGGGCAGGTTAAACGAGGTGCCTGCTCCCTCAGCGCTGGGTTCTCTCTCCAGAATTGCCTTGCCATCCCCAGGGACACCTAATGGAACTCTCCTCTTCGCTCCCTGAGCAGGCACCAGCCTCACCTGCTATCAAAGCACCCACTATCCGTATAATCGAGGAAAATAGCATCTGTCAGGATATCCATCATGCCCCGCAGGACCCCCTCCCTCCACCAGAAAGGGTTGCAGGAGCATAGGAGGGAGCTTTGCCAAGGAATCCAAGCTTCATGGTGTGCTTGGCAGGTTGCACAGCACTATCCACACTCCTGCACGGGGTGGAGGTTTTAAAAGCTGGCATTTTGCTGCTGGGTTGCCCAAAGACTGTAAAAACCAGTCACAGTCAAGCCTGCATTGACCTTCAGTCCATGGCTACAGCACACCAGAATTACAGGAGAGATGCTGATCCTGCTTCCCTATTCTCTGGACAAAGTTATTGCATATAAATTGTGTATTGATTAGAGGCAGAAAATGTAAAGAAACCTCTCTGGGAAAACTGGAGGGTGGAAAGAAATTCAGGGGCTGACAAAAGAGCTGCTTTAATTAGGAAGGGAAGCAAAGTGGTGGGAAGAAAAAATAAACACAACCTCCTCTCTAGAGCCTCCCGCTCCGGATCTGAAAATCTGATCAGGAATCATCTCTTGAAAAAAAGAAACTGGATTTTGGAGCTGGTTTGTCTGGGAAATGGAAACAGGAAAAAGAGATGTCTTCCTCCCTTCACCCAGCACTGATGAGGATGGAGAAAAGAGCAGCTACACTTTCTGCTGCTCCTGGATTTTGCATGTGGAACAGGGAAAGCCAAGATCACCTAACGAGTGTGTAACAACCATGCTCATTTCTGCCTTCTAGCTCAAAGTGCTCCAGGGTAATTACACAGTTTGGACTTATTAGCTGTAATTATTAGGTTCTGTAATTTGTAGAACGTGTTATTAGAGCGTGGGCAACCTCAAGTGGTCTAAATACACTCAGATAAGTTTCTTGTTTGTCTTCTAACTTTTCCTGCCTCAGCAGTAGATGAGGTGCTGCTTTTCCTGCTGGGAAACCTCACCACCCCTCAGGACCCCTGCAGCCACCACGGGCTGTGGTTCCTGACCTGGGACAGATGGGACACGCATGGGAACATGCCCAGCCCTGGCCTGCAGCTGATTAAAGGCTACAGGAGCCTTTTAAAAATTTGGCTCTCGCTCATACGGCCAAAATAACACGTGGTGCTCACAGCAGAGTCCCAGCACTCCTTTGGATAAGCACCATTACGCCCGGAGCGGCTGGATCAGCTACAGGATTTCAGCTCCTGCCTCCTGCCCCTTTGCTACTGGGCACTGCCAGGACTCTGCCTTCAGCAGGATGATTTCCAAATCACACAGCTACCAGTGAGCAGGAAATACAGGGTTTAATGTCAGTTTGGGTCTGCATGAAACCCTTGCCAGTTCATTGCAGATGGGACCAGTCAGAGCCAGAGCAGGTCCCTGAGAACACAATGCACAGAAATCAACTGGTTTAGGACTCCCTCACCTACCAGACAGGCTTCTCCCTGCCTCAAATTCTGTGTGGCTCGCTCCTCCTTTCTCGTGGACTAATCTCCTTGCTGCGTTTCTCTTCAGCCTCCCCTGATTTCTGGGGCACAGACTGGTCCCACACCTCCAGGTGCTTGCTCTGGTCCATCCCTGCAGCAGTTCCCTCACAGCCCAAATCCTACTTTTGCCCCCCCAAATTCAACACAGCCTCCCTATTAACACCCATGTCCCTTTCCAGATGAGAGAGAGCTGGCAGCTTGGCCAGAACTGGAAAGGCAGAGTCTGTGGGAAAGCCTGGGATTCCCACACCTCGGACAATTAGCTTCTCCCTACAACATTTCCCAGGGCAGCTTAGCTTTGCCAGTGCAGCCTTTTTTTTTTTTTCTTTTCAAAATCCCTTTAATTTCACACCAGTGCACGAAACGGAAAAGGCAATCGGCCCATCCATCCCTGCACAGCCACACACAGCCCTGGATCATCGGGGCTCCTGGTGGCACCATCCCCCTGTTCAGCAAAGAGGGACAACAGGCTTCCACCTCGGTTTCCACCCAAGGCTGGAGACAACACACAGTGGATGCAGAGAGGTGAGAGATCCCTCCAAGGGGATGGAAGAGGAGAGGAGGTGAGCCAGCTCACTCCAGTCTCATCACCTAGAGGCCTCTCAGATCCCGGCTTTCCTAAAACCCAGGGCGCTGTAGCAAAGTTGCCCAAGGATAAAGACAGCTCCACATCGTTTGCCTCAGGTGTGATGCCTCCAAGGGCAGGTGCCACCAATGACCACAAATCAGGTGGTGCTGCAGAGCCCAGCTTGACCTGAATAAACTGCAGTGGCTGTGCCTAAGTTCTGCCTTTGAGGGGTTTTCCTTTGTCCACAACATATGTCTTTAGGAAAGTTTTGCCATCTTGTCCTTATGTGATGTAAAGCCAGGTTTTACTTCCTTTTGGTCTCTGCTTATTGTTTTGGCTAAAAAAAAAAAAAAATCTACTTGCAAGTGGGGAAAAAAAAATCAAAAGCAAAAAAGCTTGTGGGATACCCTGGACTCCGATGTACCCTTCTTTCCATTCAGAGTCAAGGAGGCATCGAGTATTAGGATACCTTACTATCCCACTTGGATCAGCAGTGAGGCTGGGCCACAGCAGCAGTATCCTCATCCCTAATATGCTTATGGAAGTACCCCAAAAAGCCAGGCAGGCAGAGGAGGACATCAGGCTCCCCACAGGAGTAGGGACTACCTGGGATAACGACCTCTTCCAGAGGCAGCAAGTTCCAGCCTGACTAACAGAGCTAATGCATCTCTCCAGGACAACAAAATGCAACACAGCACCACATGAACAAGAATTTTCATGGCAATTTTTACTCTAATGTATGCATGACTTCCTTTTCTGAGCCTCTAGTACCCCCTGAAAGAAGTACTCACCTGTGGGAGCCCGGTGGCCACCTTGCCCAGGGCTGAACAGGAGAGCTGTGGCAGACTAAAACCAGAACGTTGTCCTTGGAACCACCTAGTGAGAGAAAAAAGATAATAATGTGTGACTGTCATTTCCTTTTTGCTGCCTTGGGAACCAACGTCCCATCCATGATGCAAACAATGGGCTCCCCAAACAGACAAACTCTGGTTTGTCTTCCCTCTGGGGAAGCCTCTGAGGAGCCTCCACTGAAGTCAGTAGAACTCATTGGGGTTGACACTGCTAAAAGTGGGAGGCATGTGGACCACAGCCTCCAAAAGCAGTGCCAGAGGTGCCTGTTATGGTAGCTCCAGACTTCTGGCCACCAGCCAGCAGGTGAGATGGCCAGATAATCCGAAAGCATCGCTTATCTTTTTGCGTGCTTAACATTTGCCTCCTTATTTCTCTCTTGTAGTGAAAAGCACCGTCCGACACTTCGGGATGAGAGCAGATATAATGCCAATCATTAGAGTAGCAATTACTTATCTCACAGGAGCTCTGAGAGGCTTAATCAGTTGATATTTGTAAACCACGACGAGCTGTGGAGATGAAGGATGCAAAGCATCCGAGACAGCTCGCAGCAAACCCCAAAGCGGCTCTGCTTTGCCGGCTGAGCTCCCCTCAGAGCCCCGGCCGCTCCTCGCCAGTGGCACTGCACATGGTGTTGCTCAGAGACACCTAAGGGAGCATTTCCTGCTGTGTGCCAGCCCTCTGGAGCCCAGCGGGAATGTGACACTAATGACATCCTTCAGAAATGTAATTAGCCTTCCTTCATGGCGAGGTACATTAGGGAGAACTCCGAGGCTCAGAGAAGTGGGCTCCAGTGGGTGAGAACCGAGGCTCTTGTGCTCTTGAAAGCTGCATTAGGGAAGGGGAAAAAAATAGAAAAGAAAACGTTCTAATATTACTTAATTACCCCAAGACATCCTGAGATGTAATTGAGCTTGGAGGGCTAAATGAGGGCTGCGCGTGTGAGACCGGCAGAAGTTGATGCATTTATAATGAGACCACTTTGCAAGGCAAACTAGGTCCCCATGGAGGGAGAGGAGGGCAAAGAGGAAGGACAACAAGGGGGCTGGAGAAGTATCAAGGTGCCTGAAGATCTGCTGACCTCCAGGCCCTTCCCCTTTGCTCGAGGTGCAGGCCAGGCTGGATGGAGGCAGGATGAGTGTGGATGTGGGCACAGCAAACCACGCACCATGGAATTAACTTGCTCATGGTCTGCATGCTAAAACCCCATAAAAACCCCTTAGTGCCCAATAAAATGGTCAAGAGCTGCTACATCTCACTGACAGTGAGACATCCCTCCATCCAGATCCAAACCCGAGTCGTTTCGGCATCTCATCAGCCTCCTCGGGAAGCCTCTGGGCAGGGAGTGGGATGAGACAGGAGAACATGTTGTCCTCAGGGCAGGGCTGTCTCTGAGATGAGAGGGGAAACCTTCCCCAGAGTGGCCAGTGTTCACCCCCATCGCTCCCACTAACTGTAATGGAAACCAGGCAGCTAAATCCCAGTACTGGAAAACATCCCTTTTATCCACAACACCAGAGGCCCAATGAATGCTCACAAGCCCATTCCAGCCCTGATTTACATACTGTACAGAAGGAGACATTAAAATCCAAACGGTTTATGGTAATTAACACTCATTTAAATATTATACTGGTAACTATCACTTCCAATTCTTCTCAGCCTTGAAGGGGCTCTGTGTGCACGTACATATGTACAGGGAGATTTTAAAGGGATACTACATCTTCTCTCCTGATTGCTGCTTTCCCAGGAAAAAAAAAAAAAAGGATGTCTAATGTTCATTAATTGTCTCACTTTGAGAAATTGCCGTGAAAAGTCACCGCAGGAGAGTGGAATTTTTTTACTATTATTATTTTTTTTTTGAAAGAAAGTAATAATGGGAAGCCCTGCCTGTGGCAGGGATGTATTGGCTGAGTATGGCCCTGATGAGGCTGTTTAAGCACCGTGATGGGTAACACAGAGCTATTAACACCAAGCTCCCTGTCACCAGAGGAATGAAGACTATGGAGATCCAACAGCCTTTAGGTAGGAACAAAATGCATTATTTATCACCAATTAATCTTCTTTTTTTCCCTGCTTTTTCTCCTAAGCAGTAGGACTGGGGTGGGAGGCAGCACTGCCTAAGTGGGGACCAAGGGGACCTATCAAGCACCTTTGCACTGACCTGCCCCTTTGTGATATCAAATATCAACAGGAAAGAAACAAGTTGTGGATAAATCGATAGGTTGTGGTACAAAATAAAGGTTTGAGAGGCTACAGGTGTCTCCCAGCCCTGTTTTCAAGGCTCAGAGCTGCTCCAGCAAGGCCAGGCAGGCATCACCCTGCACTGCAGTCAAAGCTGGACCACAGCATCCCCAGAGAATGAGGAAGAAAAGAAGATGCCCTTTGCTGCATCCTTCAGCACTGAGGGCTCTGTCTCTTCCCATCTCCTACAGAGGTTCCTCCTGGGAAGACGAAGGATGCAGAAAGTTGTCCCTCAAGGGACACCAAACAATATCCACTCCAGCATCTACTGCGTGTCCAGGATACCCAGCCCCCCTGAACCACAGAAATGACAGCTCTCTCAGGGAATAATTCCTGCACAGCATGGGGGAAAGGGCCAGTGGGGTTACTCTTTCCCTCTGAGCCCTGGGAGCATGGACAGGGAGTGTGAGACCTGCACAGCACACTGTGGGATCCAGGTGTCAGGACAGCTGCCCCTCCAGTCAATCTCACAGCACAAGCCAAATAACCAGCAAAACAGCAAGGGCAAGGGTTCCATGTTCACACCCCATCTGAAAAAGCTGTCCAGGATAACTGGCAGCCTCACGCTCCAAAACATTGTTCCTTTCCCACCCATCCATGGGAAAACATGGGAATTGGTGGCAGAGCCCAGGAGCTGTTGCAATGCCCCTATTATACTAATGATGTTTTCTGCCCAAACTATCCCAGGTGTGGCTCCTCGCTGCAGAATAGGAGAATCGCCCCAATTCCTTCAGGCTCGGACCTGTCCCTTGAGCCACAAATTCCGTGGGAAATACCCAGGATTTTCTTGCAGGGGACCACCAGGTGACGCTGAGAAACATCAGCAAGAGCCTGCGCCCATTCCGATCGCTTGACAAGGTCTTGCAAGATCCATGTTTGCATTAAAAAGAAATTAAAAGGTTTTCCACTCCACTAGCTTGCCCAAAGCCTGCATACTAAACAGTAAATGCTACCTGTGAGGTTGAATAAAACCCTCATAAAAAAAAAAAAAAAAAGCCAGCAGTCAGTGAATACATCATGAACAATGACATTGGGGAGGCATTGTTCTTCTCCTGCCTGATGGACCATGCTGGAACACCTGTTTCTTATCGTGAAACTGTTAATAACTGTCACCACCAAAATCAGTGCTGAAAATGTGTCATTAAGCTACTCCAACCACCACCTAACTATGAGGGGCGGAAAAAAAGCAGCAAGGAGGAATAGAGGCAAAAGTAGACCTTGGATAAATGTCAAAAGCATAGTTGTCCATGTGTCCACTGAAAAACCACTTGCCAGTGGGGAGGGAAAAATGAAAACCCACCAAACGAATCCGTATTATTAGATGGCTCCTGCCTCACCAGCATCTTCTAGCTGACATGAAAGACACAGCTGGATAACCATAGGCAATTTTAACTGATTAACTACAGACATTGACCCTTTCAATTAATTCACTGGGGATTTATTTCGTTTTAATCATCTCCTTAAGCTACAGCCTCCCCGCAGAGTCAACAGAAAACCAGTGTCTGGTCCTTTCTCCTCCACCAGCTGTTAAAGGGGTAAGAGGGATGGTTACCCAGGGGTGTTGAAGGTAATCCTGACTCAGGTAGGAATGGACTTAGGAGGTGGACATTTGCAGAACACAACTCTTTAGGGATTGCAGGTCTTTCTCTTCCCAAAGAGACCTAGAGCAATGCAAAACTTAAATCCCCTACTTCCTTTCAGGCATGGAAATGGACCCGAGTTTTGCAGTGGAGGAAAAAAATCTCTCGCTGCCATTTGTTGTGCTGCTCCCTGGCTGTATCAGCCTGGTCTCCCATCACCACTGAAAGCTTTAGACCACTTTGCTATAGCAAAAAAATGGTTATTTCTCCCCGAAATCACAACCAGTCTCAGGTTTTCCTCTTTTATAGAATCATGGAATCACCAAGGCTGGAAAGGACCTCTAAGATCATCAAGTTCAACCATCAACCCAGTACCACCAAGGTGTTCACCACTAAAATTCTCAAGTGCCATATCCACTCGTTTTCTGAACACTCCCAGGGATGGTAACTCCACCACTTCCCTGTTCCAGTGCCTGACCACCCCTTCCATGAAGAACTTCTTCCTAATATCAGATCTAAACCTCCCCTTCAAGGCCTTGTTTTGGTCTTGCTTTGGGCTGTTTCTGCTCAGTGGAACCCAGCTGCCACCCAGTTTAACCCAGATTAAGCACATCTGTAGAGATTTCGATGTCCTCTGGACTGGCAAAGTAAGGCAGAGTTATGAAGGCTTCTTGTCCATGGTGGTCTACTGCCCTAATTAGCTGCCTGCTATCAAGAACTGATGCTCTTGTGGCACTGATGGAGTTCTCCACTTTGTTTAAAAGTGCCTCAGTTAGAGGCAGCAACTTCATCTCCTAAATTTGTGTGAAACCCTCAGTTTTCAGGTGGGCAGCATGGGAGTTGACACTGGCCCCATTCACAAGGAGTCACAAGGAATGGTTTGAGCAGAGTCCTATCCAAAAAAAAAAAAAAAAAGTCCATTTCACACTGATATTTTCTGTCAAAATGAAAAATTAGGTGGAAAATTCTGACTAGAGTAACTCTTTGCCTTCAGCCCAGGAATCTGTACAGTGACAGCCTGAAAGCTTCACCCTCCTCCTGCCACACAGAGAGTCTGGGTCAAGACTATTTATATTTTCTTGAAATGTCCAAGCTTATTTTCTCCCACTTCCCCTTGATCCGCAGCTCTATCGCCTGGAAGAATTTAAAAAAGGATCCACACTTCTCCAGAGGGGCAAGTACATTCAACAAAAAGATGCACCTGAG